AACGAGTTCATGATGCCCATGGCCTTGGACGAGATGCCGGTGTCAGGGTGGACCTGTTTCAGCACCTTGTACACGTAGACGGAGTAGCTCTCTTTGCGGCTGCGCTTGCGTTTCTTGCCATCCTTTTTCTGCGCCTTGGTCACCGCCTTCTTGGAGCCCTTCTTCGGGGCTGGAGCGGACTTGGCTGGCTCAGGCATTGCGAGGCCCAATTTACACGCCTAAAAGACAAAAAACAAGATGCGCTTAACAATTACCCCCCCCCCCTTATTATTTGTTTGGGTTATATGCAAATTAAGGACTGAAGGATTACAGATTCTGATTGGCTGTTTCAGTATCTTACCCCGTAATAGGCTATTTCTGTATTCCCAGCTCTCATTGGCTCTTTCCCTGTTCAACCTGAAATAATTCGACCTTTGAACTAGAAACGCTTTATGTAAATAAGGTTGTTTAGGCCTACTTTTTGATTGGTTAAAATTTTTATTTAGCCAATAGCACAGGCTATTTTACTAAACTACCATAGAGTATAATAGCCTAGCTCCTGCTAGCGTAGGCCGCCAAAATCTTTTTCTCTAAGTTACTCTTTCGGCTCTTTTTGTCTGTTCGCTGCTATGTCTGGACGCGGGAAGCAGGGAGGTAAGGCTCGCGCCAAGGCCAAGACTCGCTCCTCTCGGGCTGGACTCCAGTTCCCTGTGGGCCGTGTGCACCGCCTTCTCCGCAAGGGCAACTATGCCGAGCGGGTTGGGGCCGGCGCGCCGGTGTACCTGGCCGCGGTGCTGGAGTACCTGACGGCAGAAATCCTGGAATTGGCCGGCAACGCGGCCCGCGACAACAAGAAGACGCGCATAATTCCGCGCCACCTGCAGCTGGCCATCCGCAACGACGAGGAGCTCAACAAATTGCTGGGCAAAGTCACCATCGCCCAGGGCGGCGTCCTGCCCAATATCCAGGCCGTGCTGCTGCCCAAGAAAACCGAGAGCCACCACAAGGCCAAGGGCAAGTGAAGTACTTTAACATTGCGTTCGGCTATCGCTTTTTTGTCTTACCCAAAGGCTCTTTTCAGAGCCACCCACATTTTCACATGAAAAGCTTGTAACTGACTAATTTCAAGGATCGAAGAAGTCTTAAGAGTAAATCAGTCTTAAAGATCCTTCTTATAATGTTCTCAGCTCACTGTTTTTAACTACAAAGTTATTAATGTGATAAAAGCGGTGGTACGTGGTTCAGGGTAAAAAGCTTAATCACGAGAAAATGCTATACTTTTGCCAATGAGGGCCTTAGGGGACATAGTTTAACAAACCATTGATAAAACCTTGAGTTGTTTTTAGTCAGGCCGAACCTATCGATTCGATTTTTAAAGTTTCATTAGAGAGTAGGGAAACCAAAAGTAAGGAACAACCTATTTTCGAGGCAAACTTACACTGCGGAAGAGACGGGTGGGCGTGGTTGACTGGTATTTGTCATTAGGATCCAATGAAAATGAGAAAAGCCATAGAACTGTTGGGAAATAAGGTAATCGCGGGCTTTTCAAATTCTGAACTAAAGCAAAACCCCATTTCGGCCAACCTAGGGAAAGCAATTAACATTTTTTGCTTACTTTTGTGTCTGGCACCCCCGTACCAGGCTCTTTATCCGTATTTTTCAGCTATTCCACCTAGGAACCCTGCCATATAGGTAAAAGGCTTCGGACAGTGGGGATAGGAAGTGGCAATGCGGACAACCCGAGGTTTCACTCAGAAAAACCGTCTGAGAGAAGAAAAAAATACAAGTAAATCTTTTCTCAAAGCATGGTCCTTGGAATCTCAGGGCTTCCTACAGACCTACTGAGTCGCACTCAGCAACTTTCCAAGATCTCCACATAATTCATTATGGGCACTATAGTGCCGAATCAGAATATTAGAAGATTAGCTCCTTAGGATCATAGATTAACGAAGAGGAGAGGGGATACCGTGGAATAATTCAACCAATCAGAGTTCTAGGTATGGACCAATCACCGCTCTCATATTTCAGCCAATGGTTTTATTGCGCGGGACTTTTGAAAAATCGCAAGGCCAATCAGAATGATTCTGAGTATATATAAAGGCAACTTCTGGCTGCTTCTTTGCCAACTGTCTCTTACCAGTTGTTGTAGGATGGCTCGTACAAAGCAGACAGCACGTAAGTCCACTGGCGGTAAGGCGCCGCGCAAGCAGCTCGCCACTAAGGCGGCCCGTAAGAGTGCGCCGGCCACTGGCGGAGTGAAGAAGCCCCATCGCTACCGGCCTGGCACTGTTGCGCTGCGCGAGATCCGGCGCTACCAGAAGTCCAC